GTTAGCTGTATGCAAAATGAGTTGAAGGAAGGAAAATGTAAAGACTTAGTGACCTTCTAAAGAAGAGATGGTGTAAACAAAGCTAAATGAAGTGAGGAGAATTTGACAGATCTTTTCTTTAAAAAGTGTACTTGTTAGCTCAAGTGTACTTGTTAGCTCAGCTGAATCTAAAAGTATTGTGTATATGAAAAGGCAAGGTGCTATATGGACATTTCCAAAACTACTTTCTTATTTAATATTCAGAATTTCCTATCATGGAAAAATTATTTTCCAACTGCCAAAAATATTTAATTTTATGAATAGCATATTGTCTTTGATAGGCAGAGTTCTAGAAATAAAGTTGAACCAACGAATAGGGCTTATAGATTCCAGGATCCATGGCTGTGGACAGCCAGGGCAACAAGCATAGGCTGCTATCCAAGGTGCTGAACCGATCTGTCTCGCTACTGAAAACTGCTTCTCTTGCCTTTCTGCCTCTGCCTCAAGCTCAACTCTCTGATGGAGTAACAGCCTAGCACCAGACTGAGCAAGACTTAATCCGACTAGTATGCTTGCCTTTGTCAGAACTAGATGACTCTGACTTTTGATCAAGACAACAGCTTGATTTCTCAGCTGGACTCCTGGCATATCTGCGGCAATCTGCAGGCTCTGTGTTTACATAGGGCCTGGTGCACTGGGAAGACCCAGAGGGATCCGGTGGAGAGGGAGGTGGGAGGGGGGACCAGGATGGGGAATACATGTAAATCCATGGCTAATTCATTTCAATGTATGAAAAAAACCACTGCAATGTTGTAAAATAATTAGCCTCCAACTAATAAAAATAAATGGAAAAAAAAGAAGAAAAAAAAAAACCTGACAAGTAGGTAAAAATTTCCTCCAGGAATAAAGCTGACCAGCCAGAGGGTCCAGTAATTTGTGGTTGTGGATGGCTGTGAGCTGTAGAAATTAATTCTCAAGTTCTCATTTCAGCACACTCAGCCTTCAGGACCCTGGAGTTTCCCCTTTGCAGACATCTACTGGTTATTGAACTAAGTTGAGCTTCACATTCTTTAGGACACATTTTCTGCCCACAGGAACTTAAATTTCTAATGGACAAATAAAACACATAATTCATTTATTTTTTTAAAAATTGATTTATTTATTTCAATTGGAGGATAATTTCTTTACAATATGGTGGTGGTTTTTGCCATATATATCGACATGAATGACCCATGGGTGCACATATGTCCCCCCAACCTGAACCCCCCTCCCACCTTTCTCCCCTCCCATCCCTCTGGGTTGTCCCAGAGCACCAGCTTTAAGTGCCTTGCTTCATGCATCAAACTCGCACTGGTCATCTACTTTACATATGATAATATACATGCTTCAATACTATTCTCTCAAATCATCCCACCCTCACCTTCTCCTACATAGCCCAAAAGTCTGTTCTTTACATCTGTGTCTCTTTTGTTGCCTTGCATATAGGATCATTGTTACCATCTTTCAAAATTCCATATATATGTGTGTTAATATGCTGTATTAGTGTTTCTCTTTCTGACTTACTTCACTTTGTAAAATAGGCTCCAGTTTCATCCACCTCATTAGAACTGACTCAGATGTGTTCTTTCTTATATCTGAGCAATATTCCACTGTGTATATGTACTGCAACTTCCTTATCCACTTGTCTGCTGATGGACATCTTGGTTGCTCCCATGTCCTGGCCATTGTAAACAGTGTTGCGGTGAACATCACTGGGGTACATGTGCCTCTTTCAATTCTGGCTTCCTCGGTGTGTACGGCCAGCAGTGGCGTTGCTGGGTCATATGGCAGTTCTATTTCCAGTTTAAGGCATCTCCCCATTGTTCTCCATAGTGGCTGCACCCGTTTGCATTGCCAGCAGCAGTGTAAGTAGCTTCCCTCTTCTCCACACCCTCTCCAACATTTATTGTCTGTAGACTTTTTGATGGTGGCCATTCTGACTGGCATGAGATGATACCTCATTGCGGTTTTGATTTGCATTTCTCTGATAATGAGTAATGCTGAGCATCTTTTCATGTGTTTATTAGCTATCCGTATGTTTTCTTTGGAGAAATGTCTGTTTAGTTCTTTGACCCACTTTTTGATTGGGTTGTTTGTTTTTCTGGTATTGAGCTGCTGAGCTGCTTTGTATATTTTGTCGGTTGTTTTGTTTGCTATTATTTTCTCCCATTCTGAAGGCTGCCTTTTCACCTTGCTTATAGTTTCCTTCATTGTACAAAAGCTTTTAAGTTTAATTAGGTCATATTTGTTTACTTTTGTTTTTATTTCCATTACTTTGGTGGGTGGATCATAGAGGATCTTGCTGTGATTTATGTCTGAGCATGTTCTGCCTATATTTTTCTGTAAGAGTTTTATAGTTTCTGGTCTTACCTTTAGATCTTTAATCCATTTTGAGTTTATTTTTGTGTAAGGTGTTAGAAAGTGTTCTAGCAAACACATAGTTTAAATTGCTGTGCAGTGGCCTATATTTAGCATCAAATACATTAAATCCATTAAGAACTGAAAAAGAGAGGTTTAGCATCCTTCCCACTCATATTCACATGTAGCACCACCACCTTTATAACTTCTCCCCATAATGATTGCATTATTTCTGTCACATAAAGGACTTAAAAAATCCTTTTAAATCTATTTAAATTTGGAAGGAAAGAATTTTATGGCCTCCTCCAAGTGCTTTTGATAATTTCTAGAGATAAGCTTCTTCAAAGTCTAAGAAGCCTTTTAGAACTACCAGTTCTCAAATCACAATATTGAAGACTTTAGCTCTTGGATGCCTTAGGGATGTTAATAAAATATAGCTCATGACTTGAGAAAAAGCCTGTTGTGGGGCAAACAAGGACAATTTAAAATTGCAGGCAGAGAGAAAGAGGAGTCTGGAAATGTGCAATTTTATAGCAAAAACTGGAACATTTTATACAGAAAAGACTATCTTGAGTTTACAAGAACTTTCAGCCAAAAAGACACTCTCTAAAGGAAATTCTGGGACATCAGTCAAGGGCTGAGCTAGAGTGGTAAAAATACAGCCCTAGGAACTTGATGAGACCTAGGAAGAAAAATTCCCTCTTTGGAATTTGACCTTTGAGCTGGAGCAGACAGAATGGCCAAGACCTTTCTATTTACTGAGTAAGAGGTACGGGTAGGTGTACTCAGTCAGGGTGGAGGTAATCAGCAGTGACCAGGATTTTGGTATTGGATATATTAATGCACTTAATATAAATAGTTTATATAAGTCAATCAATATTATACAGTATTATTTAATTGGTCATTTACATTGTGATGACTAATTAACCTTATAGACCTTTCAAATAGCAAGCATCTAGAAGTTCTGTCTGCTTACTGATAATTGAGCAATATCATCACCTTGCCAGCAAAGGTCCATGTAGTCAAAGCTATAGTTTTTCTAGTGGTCGTGTATGGATATGAGAGTTGGACCATAAAGAAAGCTGAGCACTAAAGAATTGATGTTTTTGAGCTGTGGTGCTGGAGAAGACCCTTGAAAGTCCCTTGGACTGCAAGGAGATCAAACAAGTCAATCCTAAGGGAAATCAACCCTGAATATTCACTGGAAGGACTGATGCTGAAACTGAAACTCCAATAATTTAGCTACCTGATGCGAAGAGCCAACTCACTGAAAAAGACCCTGATGCTGGGAAAGATTGAAGGTAGGAGGAGAAGGAGATGATAGATGAGATAGTTGGATGGCATCACTGACTCAATGGGCATAAATTTGAGCAAACTCTAGGAGATGGTGAAGGACAGGGAAGCCTGGCATATTGCAGTCCATGGGGTTACAAAGAGTTGGACACGACTCAGCAACTGAATAACTGGTAACTGATAAAGCCCAAAATCAGGTATGGACTACTGATTGCAAATATTCACTAGGTTTCAGGAATGTATCAGCTGAGCTCTCCTTTACCATCCTTCCTTGTTAACTCTGATTAACAACCAAATTTCTGGTTGGTATAAGGTATGTGCAATTCCTCACCAATTGTGTTCCTTTTGACAACCACACATATGCTTACTCATTTTTTTTCATGTCTTTTGACTCTCAGCATTTATTTAATTAGGGTTTCTCTCTCTTCTTCACTCTCAAAGGCCCCTTTCTTTTTCCTTCTTTCCAGCTTTTGTCCATTATAACTTGCCTGTGTGTCAATTTACAGAAAAATTATTCATTTCCCTTTGTGTTTTGTATATAGACTCATGGAAAGTCTCTCTTGGGGACTCTGACCCACTGAAAACACACACAATTAGCTCTTAGGTGATCAGCTTAAGAGGTTCAGGGATTAAAAGTAGTGCTCTAGAAAAGTTTCAGTGTTTGATCATTAGGAGAGTTGCTTTAGAGTTTAAATTGCCTGAAAAACGTGCTTTTATGGAATAGGTTATTATTAATTTTGCCAAACCCAGAAAGTACCACTCAAGAGAAAAAATAAAAGAGCAAATAAATGCTCTTTTACTTCTTAGCATCCTTGAATAAGTAGGTCTCATGCATCTCTAGATATGTCATGCATCTCTGTAGTTTATGCCTTTTTAAATAATGGGGGTCTTTGCTGAAGTGCATAAATACAGCTGGTACCAAGAGGAGTTCATTTTGGATGTTTCAGATTTTGGATATATGAAGAAATGGAGGCTTAGAGAGGTGAAGGCAATTGGTGTGATTTCCTGATCCCCAGAGCAGACATTCAGCAAATATTTATGTGCAGCAAGCATCTAGAGCTTCCCTGGTGTCTCAGATGGTAAAGAATCTACCCGCAATGCAGGAGACCTGGGTTTGATCCCTGGGTTGGGAAGATCCCCTGGAGAAGGGAATGCTACCCACTCCAGTATTCTTGCCTGGAGAATTGCATGGACAGAGGAGCCTGGTGGGCTACAGTCCATGGGTTGCAAAGAGTCAGACACAACTGAGTGACTAACACTTAGCACAGCAAGTTCTTATGGCTGTGTGATTATTACCCACTCAACCTTGAACATCATATAAAAGAAGTATATTTTTAAATATATGTACCAAACTTTAATTTTCATTTCACACTCAAAACTTCTGTACAAAAAGAGGCAAAGCAGGCAAAAAAAATGACAGTGACTTCAGCAAACAACATATGACACTTTTTAAACAGCTTTGTGTATGCAACAGCCTTTATAGATGTAGTGGGAACATTGGGTTCCAAGGTTTTTGTTTCTTTAAGACAAAATTCCAATGTTTATTATTAACATCTACAAAAATTTGTAGCTGTCTGGGATACAAGATTGAATGAGAAGTCTCTGATGTCTACTGCACAGTTAGATCCCAAGACTGAGTAAGCTTCATTTTTCTTTTGAGGAAGCATGAAATTATTGTTATTTAAATGTGGTAATGTATTAAAAACCTCAGTTTACCATTAATATCTTGATACAATGGTGATGACTAGGAGCAAAGACCGATGAAGCATGATATTAACTAATAGTTAAAGGATAGTATCCAGGAGTTTCTTTCTGGTTCTTAATTAAAACTCCAGCCCCAAGGGGTCACCACAATTCAAAACATTGTCACTTTCTTTTTTTAACTAATGCCTAGTGGCACATAAAAGGTTTCTGAGAACAAAATTATAATGCCAAAGTAGCAGTGCATCTAAGAAATGTAATTTTCACCTTGTCACTTGCCCAAAAATAAATATCTGAGTAATGGAGTACACTTTTATTTGAAAACTATGAGACCGCAAATATGAAATATAGCTAACATTGACATGGATACCGTGGCTAGCACTTTCCCCTGCCCAGTTTATGGGTCCTGGACACACGTGCATGCAGCACACAAAAATGTGATTGTTCAAAGACACCTGAAGGACAGTCTGTTAAAAGAATTTGTCTCCCACTATAGCTCTGGAGTGGACCCAAGGCCCATCACCTGTTAGTGATCACAGACATTCAGTTAACCTGTCCTGCTGCTAACCAGAAGCAATAGTTCAGGCCCTGGGCTTTTGAGAATCCATGTACTGATGAATCTTGGCTTTGAAACAAGGTGGCCTGACTAAACTGGGGCAGGCCAGCAGCTCTCCCCCCATATGTTTGGTCCCACTTGTGAGAAGGTCGAATTAAAAATTATAAATGTGCTCAACCATTTACTCTGCAAGTCCTTTGTCTGATATGGGAGGAAAATAGACCCCATTACAATAAATACTGAGTACTTTTACATTTCTAGTCTTGAAAGTTGTTGCCCAAAGACAACAGGTGGCTTCCAAGTAAAAGAAGCTGAGTATCTAATGAATTTGTTCACCCAGTGTTATCCCAACTTCTGGACTCCTCTAGGGTTTAAGAATCCCTAGGTTTGGAAAGGTCTTTGAAAGCCATTTAGTGCATTTCTGTTATGATGACAGAACCCTCATCCAACCAGCTGTACTTGTTCAGCTTGAAAAGCTCTAAGGAAAAGGGCTTTTCCTCTCTATATTGACTGACTGACATTTAGATATAGACCAGGGAATCCATTCTGCCACTGAATGGATTTATTAAAAATAAACAAAACCTAAGTATGTCTCTCCTATTCTTAAGAGGACTCAAGGGACTACCACCTGGCCACCAAAATCCAGAAAGTAATGGTGTAACAGCTCATTCCTTGGGACAATGACATCAAACTCTGATATACCCAAACCCAACTTCTGGAATTATCATTCCCTGGGCAACTCTCTGCTTCCATCAGAAATAGGCAAGCAATTATACAGGCCAGGTTGAAGGTTTATTTAAAAGTGTCCAATATCACCCTATAGTATGTATGCATAGGCCACGTGGTGAAAAGAAAAGGACATGGAATCAGGAATGAGGCATCCTGGGTTCTAGTCCTACAGAGGGGTGATGCTGTTTGACTTCATTCTCACTGGAGACCAGAATAGAAGATTTCCAAGATTCCACTCTAAACTCTGATCTGCAGACAGAATAACCCTTGTCATATCGCTAATCATCAAGGCAAGGTGGGGTGATGCTTACCGGATTCTATTTACAAACGAAGGATGTGAGAGTCAGTCTTCTTATTGGCTCATGGTCTTATAGGAGTATCGGAGGTTATCTATTTTATTTGCCCATTTTATAGATGAGGACAGTGAGACACATAGAATTTAAGTGAATTTTCCAAGTTCACTCTGAATCAACAAGTCTAGGATTTAATCCCAGTACTCAGGCCCGAGTTTATACATTGTAACAAGTTGGTAGTTAGGTCCTGGAGGAGCTGTCTTTTAAATATCAGATAACCAGAAAATAAAAATCTCCCCTCTAAATTCCCCAAGCTTTCTGATAACTAGTTAAGGTCTAGCTAGATCTCTGCTACCACATGAATGGTCCCCAGAGGCCATGGCTCCTATTAGGAGGAGTTGTGTGCCTAGCGCTCCACAGACACCTGGAATATTAGCAACCTCACCCACAATTTTAGCCAGAGTTCCACTTCCCTGATCCTGGAGACAGAGGGTTGAAGCAGAGAGATGTCTGTCACTGTTGCTTGGATGCCCTTCTTCCCCACCTGTCCCCACTTCCACGACAGTCACCAGCCCAGTCACAAGAGCATATCTCTCTATTCTCCCTTCTCTGCCACAAACTGATGCAAACACGCTGATTTTTTCCTCTTGAAAAATGGAAAGGGAACGTTACCGGGTATAAATCAAAACAGGAAGAGAAAATGCTGATAAATAAAATAGGTGCAAACAGAAAAGTTGCAAGGGTGCTGTGCCATCTGAGGAAAGAGAGGGGGTGTGCTGAATTCGACACTGGGGTTTGCATCTCCACGTGCATTTTTATTTTCTGGGATTCCCCCTCTCTCTCTGTCAGGATAACAGTTGTGTTTCTTGTAGCTGGACTGACCCAGGAAATCAAACTCTTCATGTTTCTCTAACTATACTTCCCAGAAAGATCACACATCTAGAATTAAAACATGACCACAAGCTGTTGGGAAGTTCTGATTGTTACAGGCGTAAGGAACTCCAGTAGCAAAGATCAACGTCTCCAAATTCTGCCTTTTGGAGAAGGGGTTTTTGTTCTAGACATCGAAGGTAAGGCTCTCCAGTCAATTTATGATCTCTGGGTTGAGTCAGTCAGGATACAAATTAAGGTCCATATATTTCAGTGACAAGAAGGGAACGGTTATGTAAATACACAAGTATTAACATCAATCTGTATTAAATTATGTAAACATATACATCTTCTGAGGTCAGTTCAAAGATCCTCTTCACTGAGCAAGGCTTTACTGAAGCATCGCTCGAATCTGTTTGGAAGTCGATTCATCATTCAAGTGCTTTGTAGTGAACCTGGGTGGAGAGAAAATGACGGCAGTCAGCGTGCAAACAGTGTGCAAACAGTGAGCTCTGAGACAGCTTCCATCGGAGTTGTCAGCTCATCTTTAGCTCGAGAGGCACAGCTGATATTTAGAAATCAAACTTGGCATCCGTTCTTTACACAAAGAGTCACACTTCAGTTCCAAATTAGTCTCAGATTTAATATTCAATCCTTCCTTCTAAAGAAGTTTATATTTTGGTTATTAAACAAATAGATCTTCTACCTAATCAAATAATTACATTAAAGAGATACAAGCAATCTCATTTCCCAGGGAGACAGATTTCACGTGCTTGAGTGCAGGCTGTTGGCCATCTAGGGCACAGCTCCAGAGTCACAGATATTAAAAGATGGGTTTGCCCATAACAACACTGTTGTTTAGTTGCTAAATCGTGTGTGACTCTTTTGGCACCCTATGGACTATAGCTCATAGGCTCCTCTGTCCATGGGATTCCCCAGGCAAGGATACTGGAATGGGCTCCCATTTCCTCCACCAGGGATCGAACCCACATCTCCTGCACTGAGTCACCATGACAACATTATCCAACTCTCTGGTTACCGTTTTCTCCTTTTGTGAGAGTGTTTATCCTCATTCCCACCACAAGGGGGCACTAAGGCAGATCCATATAGGAAACAAAAGTGGTGTAGTATGTATCCTCACATTAACTGGTGTAGAAATAGGTCATGAAAAGGAAGGGAAAGAGAATGAACGTCTAATAACATCTTGACCATGTTCTAGGCACTCTGTGGAAGTTTTTATTTCACAAACACTCACACTAACCCTTTGCATGACAGGTTATTACTTCCATTTTACAGATGAGCAAACTGAGATTTAGAGAAGTTAAATGACCCATTCCAGATGACAAATGTAACAATGCATGATTTGTGAACAATTTGTGGTTTCTGATGTGGATCCAGGTCTGGCTGCCTCAAAAGTCTGTACCCTCTGACTTCATCACAGTGCCTAGAGGAGACACAAAATGCCAAGAACGCGATGGAACTCGCAGTCTATCACAGTGCCCTGGTCTCCAAGCCTTGCTTAACTGAATGACACTGGACTTCCCTGATGGTCCAGTGGTCAACCTTTCAATGCAAGGGGCGTGGGTTCGATCCCTGGTCGGGTAGTCAATATTCCCCACACACCCCGTGGCCAAAAAACAAAAAACATAAAACAGAAGCAATATTGTCATGAATTTAACACAACATGGTCTGCATAAAAAAAAAATCTTAAAAGAAAAATCAGAAGCCAAAAGGTTTCTTAGTGAGTGTGGAAAGTTTGCCTTCTATGAAATGAGCACCAATGGAGAAAAACCTTGGTTTACCCACAGGATCTGAAAGACTCTTAGGTTAATGCCACATCTGTTCTGAAGCATGGTGACTTAGCAGCTGCACCAAAAAGGATCAGCCTCAGTGTATAATTTATTTGTGTCATGTGCATCTGAATTTCTTCCTTTATTAGATGGGGATAATAGATCTTACCACTCTGACTTGTGATGATTAAATGAGAGCATGAAACATACATGTTGTACATCAGAGAGGTTCATTGCTCCATTCCACTTATTGAACATCCACTACATGAATGGTATTGAGAGGAACAGAGGGAAATCAACAACGAGTAAGACAGCAGGGACCATAAACTTTTCCAGATGGCAATCCGATTGGCACAATTCAACAAACCATATAGATGTGTCACAGCTAAACAAATAAGAAGCCTGCCCCTGCAGTGGATTAAGTGCATGTGTCCTTGGGAAGAGCATGCTTTAGCATGGCTCGGGAGCAGAAAGGAAGCTGTCAGGAGCACTGGCCAGAAACAGGGGCATCTAGACAGGGGAGTAGGGTTCTCAGTATTGGCAACTGCACAGATGCCTCATGCAGGGACCTTCAGAACAAACCCACAAACCCGAAATGGATTCCTGAGCCCCTACCCCAGCGATTAAAATTCATCTGGCCTGGGTTGGACCCAAGCACCTGTGTTGGCAAAAGCTATGCACATAATTCTCATGTGCAGCCAGGTCTGGGGATCAGGGGTGGAGGGGGAAGTGACACCCAGGAGGTTTCTTCTCCTGACAAGTCCCCACCAACCACAAAGCAGTGTGGCCAGGATCTGGTCTTTGACCTGCAGGGTCACCCAGACCTGGGTTTAATCTCGGCTCAGCCATCTGTCGTGAAACCTTTCGCCAAGTGAGTTGACTTCTCTAAATTTCAGCTTCTTCCATCTGTGAAAAGGGGATGATAAAAATGGGGCTGACCTCAACATGTGTTAACAGACGTAAGAGGTTAAGCTTGGTGTTTTTAGCCCTCGGACCCTGGCAGCATCTAAATTAGCAGTGGATCTGAAGGATTGCTGCGCCACAGGGCTGAGGCTCACCTGAGGGCATTCAGCAGCCCCTCCACACTGTCTGGGGCCTGTTCCTTCAAAACCTTTATGCAGCCTTTCATCTAGGAAGAGAAAGAACAAGATTTGGTTAATATCTTAGCAATTCTGCCCATCATAGTGTCTGTCCATAACAACATCTACCTGTAATAATACCACATTGTTTGTGCTCATAGAAACCAAACATTGAAATGACCAACAAACCTTCCTCCTCCGTCGGGCCAGGGAGTTGCTTCTGTGGGTTTCTAGAAGCGTCTGTGTCAGTTTTCATATTATACCACAATTGAATGTCTTCTGTGTCTGGCCTTTGGGGACAAAGACTTGAGACTGATTTTCTTGTCTTGGACACCAGAGCCAAGAGCAGAGCTTCTCTAAGTCTGTGCTCAGGGGAGGCTGACCAAATGAACTGCAAACGTGATCATTTTACACCATCCTTCTGCCCAGAATGCTTTTCCTCCTTTAGTTGTTTGACTGGTAATCTCTTTAAAAAATTTTTTAGGACTCAGCTAGAGCTCACCAACACCAGGAAGCTTCTTCTGATCTCATTACCTTCACCAGGTAGAAGTATTTGTATCCCTGATAGCACACTGGCATTTCTCAGAGAACCTTAAGAGATTTTAGTGCTCAGATTAATTTGTCTCCCTCCCTAGGCCAGGAGAGGGCCAATAAAGGACAATAGTTAGGAATATGAAGCACATGGAGGCAGAATGCCTGGGTTTCATCCATCCTTCTTTGTTTAGCATCTTCATAAACCTGGGCAAGTTTCTTAGCTTTTTGTGTCCTTGCAATATAATTTATTCATCATTTGGGAAATACATGAAAGCTAAATCTGCATCTTAATAGATCACATTATGTTATTCATATATGGGAATTTTTTTCACAAAGGAAGAATCCTTCTGGAAAGAATATAGTCAGTCATTTTAAACTCACAGATATTCATTCACTGACAGTATACAGTACTACGGACCTCTCTCACAATGGTCACTTAGAAAATGTTCTTGTAGGTTGAAAGCTTTTTCCTAAAAACCTGATAAAGCTTGTTGGATTGATGGGGGCAGCCAGAAGCACAGGGCTGAGAATCATTTGGGGGTATGTTTAGACTCATCCAAAAAGAATGTTGTGGTAAATCAGATGCCTGTCACAGGTGCAGGACGAGGACAAGAACAGGATGAAGAGATTCAGTCCCTCTCCCAAGAGCTCAGAGTCCAGTGGGAGAAGAGAGACAAACAGCTCCTTATCATCCTCTGATATGTGTTCTTGTAAAAAGTACCCGGGGAGAAATAGGGACACAGATTTGAAAAGAGGCAGGAGTGTGGTGTGGTGGACACTCTATGGGAATTTCTAGTTCGATCTCAGGCTGATGAACGCCTGGGGCGTGAATTACAAGACACAGTCAGAGATGCAGTCGGGACCAGATTCAATGTGCGTTTAACAATATGTTCAGGACTCGAGGCCTTGACCTGTGGAAAATATTCTTGATAGGTGTTCAACAATCTAATAATGTGATTAATACTGAAAGGGATCTGGGCAGGCAGAGCTGGAGATGGGAGGGCCAGTGGGAGCCCCTGAGAGGGAGGGTGTGAGTGAGCGTGTGAGTGAGTGTGTAGGGAGGGTGTGAGTGATGGTGTGAGGGAGGGTGTGAGTGACGGTGTGAGTGAGCATGTGAGGGAGGGTGTGAATGAGCATGTGAATGAGCGTGTGAGGGAGCGTGTGAGTGAGCATGTGAGGGAGGGTGTGAGTGAGCATGTGAGGGAGGGTGTGAGGGAGGGTGTGAGTGAGCATGTGAGGGAGGGTGTGAGGGAGAGTGTGAGTGAGCGTGTGAGGGAGGGTGTGAGTGAGCATGTGAGTGATGGTGTGAGTGAACATGTGAGTGACGGTGTGAGTGAGCGTGTGAGTGACAGTGTGAGGGAGGGTGTGAGTGAGCATGTGAGTGAGTGTGTAGGGAGGGTGTGAGTGAGCATGTGAGTGATGGTGTGAGGGAGGGTGTGAGTGACGGTGTGAGGGAGGGTGTGAGTGAGCATGTGAGTAAGTGTGTAGGGAGGGTGTGAGTAAGCGTGCGAGTGATGGTGTGAGGGAGGGTGTGAGTGAGCATGTGAGGGAGTGTGTAGGGAGGGTGTGAGTGAGTGTGTGCGTGATGGTGTGAGGGAGGGTGTGAGTGAGCGTGTGAGTGATGGTGTGAGTGAGCATGTGAGTGAGCGTGTGAGTGACGGTGTGAGTGAGCATGTGAGGGAGGGTGTGAGTGAGCATGTGAGTGATGGTGTGAGTGAACATGTGAATGACGGTGTGAGCAAGCATGTGAGTGACAGTGTGAGGGAGGGTGTGAGTGAGCGTGTGAGGGAGGGTGTGAGTGAGCGTGTGAGGGAGCGTGTGAGTGAGCGTGTGAGGGAGGGTGTGAGGGAGGGTGTGAGTGAGCGTGCGAGTGATAGTGTGAGGGAGGGTGTGAGTGAGCATGTGAGTGATGGTGTGAGTGAGCATGTGAGTGACGGTGTGAGGGAGAGTGTGAGTGACGGTGTGAGTGAGTGTGTGAGAGCAGCAGTAGACACAGAGGGTCAGGGCGAGATGAGAGGACGCGCTGAGGTCCAGGCCACAGGACTCGGGTGTCTGAGGAGGTGTGACGGTGAAGAGCGAACAAGATTGTTCCTAGGTTCTGGGGAAAAAACCCCAGGTTTGGCTTTGACCCCAAGTTGAAAGGAAGTGAAATACCTGAGACAGGAGCACAAGAGGAGGAGCAGGTCTGTGTGAAAGTGAGAACCTTTGATTTGAGGCCGGCCGTACCTCAGGTGTCCAGAGGAGGTGGGGGTCTGGGATTCTGGGTGAGGTGTGGGCTCGAGACTGGGCTTAAAGAGTGACTGTATTGGATCGCTCCGTGTAGTTTTAAGGAAATCAGTTGAAAACGCCACCTCACTCCAGCCTGCATCCCTGACACCCATTTACAGCATCTGTTCTCTAAATGACGAACCTCCCTCTTGGCCGCGATGACTGCTGGGATGAATCCTCTGCCTGGAGCACTCTTCCTTCTCTCCATCCACTTGGTAAGATCCCCCAGATCCACCTGAAACATCGCCCTCTTTCTCTGCCTCTCTACAGAAGGAATTTCTCCCTCATCTGGGTGTCTAGAGCTCAGCACTTCCATTTTGGGCTCCAGAACACATTCTCTGTAAGCGCAGGGGACAGGATCTACTTCATTATCTGCTTCTTCATAGTTGATGCTGATACCCTGTTTATAAACCCTGTGCCTGTAACTGCTGACTTCGAAGCAGACTGATATCCGGAAGGAGAGTATTTATGTCATCAGAGAAAAATGGCCCATTATATAGTATACATACTGTGCTCTGTAAATCTGAAACTGTCTTAGAGACATGGGTGAGCTTCAATACAAGCAAGCCGTTCTTAGTGAGACTGACATGAACAAACAGACTTCATCATGCCTGGGGAGGGTTAGAACTAACATCATATAATGTTTACAGCCTCCGCAGAAAGAGTCAGTGAGTGACAAGCAAGGACGAGCTTTTTTTAAAGGTTAGGGCTACAAGACATAATGGTACTCAGTGTATTTTTAATTATTGACTCTCTGACAAGTTAACAAATGGCTGTGGTAAATGAGAATGTCCTATGAGTACTGGGTAATAAATTCAATCCATATTCAAATGATATTCATGGGTTATTAATAGAGCTATTTATGCTCAATCTATAGCATGAAAATGTTAAAGCCTCATGAAGAATACAATAAAATATTTATTGGTATGTAAAAAACTCGGTAATATACTGTTATGCAAATTAAATACGTTTTTAAATAGCAATTATAGCAGGGTGCTAATCTGTTAAGTATTACTACATACACACAGACACCCAAACATCTATATAAAATGAAGGGACAAACACATGTGACTTATTGATGGTGGTCACCTGTCCATGGTGAGGTTACCCAGATATGTTTAATTTTCTGTATATTGATTTCCTTTATTTTCCCCAAATTTTTATATAAATATTTATTTTCTTGAGAAATAAAAACAATTATATTAAAAATAAGAAAGACTCTATGGAGAACCATGGCGAGCTATGCTAGGAAGTCAGAACCTCAAAATGAGTAAACCGAGTTGCATTATGAATTGATATATTTTCTTATACTCTTCAGACTCACAGACCCTCTGGGCGTCTGGACCTTCTGTCTGCACAGAACTAAAGCATCAGAGATGCTCTTGTGTATGCATGAATGAGTCTAGAGTGTGCATGCCCCTACTTAGCCGTGTCAGAATAAGTTAGTACCAAAGGTCCTATTGTGTGCTTAGAAGGCTTTAAATTAATACAGGGATACACTACTGAGTGCTGCTGCAGGCAAACACTGGGCTGAGAGGAGTGTCTTTATCCTACAATCAACAGGAAATCACTTGCACACCACTATCATTTGTTTTCCAATCCTATTCATTCACTCAGCAAAAATTTTATGGAGCGTCTGCTGAGCACCACGCTCTATAAACCAAAGACACTGTCAGGCAATGGAGTGGGCATCAGGTGTATAGATCTTGGTCTCTGCTCTTGCCAACAGACTCAGAATCTGTGCTTGTTGTTTAGTTGCCAAGTCGTGTCCAACTGTTTGTGACCCCCTGGACTACAGCCCACCAGGCTCCCTGTCCATGGGATTTCCCAGGCAAGAATACTGGAGTGGGTTGCCATTTCTTTCTCCAGGGGATCTTCCTGACCCGGGGATTGAACCTGCGTCTCCTGCATTGCAGGCAGATGCTTTATTGCTGAGCCACCAGGGAAGCCCCAGAGTCTGTCAGAAAATCCAAAATGGTAGGAACTTTGGGGCCGGAAGAGAAGCAAGGCTCTGCTCCACGCAGGGAGCGGGAGACATGCTCCACATGAGGGGACATGTGAGGAGTGTCTTAAAGGAACCCTCCCCCAGTGGAGAAGAGGGCGGGCACTCTGGGTAGGGCTCAAGCATAGTCCAAGGACAAGAAAAGCATGAGAATCAGGTAGTACCATCTGCTGGGCTATGGGACAGGAAGTCGGAATGTTGCTTGGGATTTGACCATGGTGTTTTGTAATCCAGTTATCTCCTGATGCTTTTCACATTGAGACACATATATACAAATAAACATGTATATGGCACATGGGTAAGCTGAAGGGGCAGGTAGCAGCTAAGTGACTGTTCACCCCTCAGCCCCTCTACAGGCTGAGGGAATCAGCATCTCCACTCTTCTTCTGTGCCTTTGAGGTTGAATGCATTTGCTGTAAGCCCGTGAACAGGACTGGACTTCTTGCTAAGAGGAGAGATGCCTTGATGGATTTGCAACCGGGAGAACTCACTCATGGGCAGTTGCTGGGGGGTGGATGGAGGGGAGGGAGAGAGAGAAGCAAGGTCTGTTTGGTGACATTCATGAGACCCTATTGGGAAATCACCTATCATAACTATTCTTACATCGATCTTGGATGTCTTGCAGAATGCTCCTACGGGGTGCACGTGGTCGTAGAGGATGATGACCCCCACCATGACCCTCATGCAGAACATCAGCGTTTCTTCACTGGTAAACCTACTCCTGTATTCCCTGGAAGAGACGAGAAATGGCAGAGGTGTTACTTCCATGACAGAATGTGTTTGTTTTTGGATCCACAACTGGCTAGTTTAGCCTCCTGCAATCCTCTCTTGAGAACAATCCTAGACCTGCAAGAAGCAGGCTATAATAAGCTCTTAAAGGAACTGGCGATGATAATTCTCCTTGACTCTATCCAACCAGTGTGAAAACAAGGTAAATTGGAGGGCAGTAAATTCTTTTCTCTTCTGCCCTCAGCAAGCCAGCTCATCACGTACCTAACTCCCCCGCCCATCAATCATGAATATTTTATAGCAGGTCTCTCTGGCTGTCCTAGATTATAGAGAATAATGGCTTTATTATGGAGAAAACGAATCAAGCTCATTTCTATAGAGCAGCTACTGCATCGCCAGTCAGGGTAACTTCCTTTGTTAAGATACAGGCTGCAGATTGAATTAGATTGGCAAAGATACCTAAAAGAGATTGCACACCACTGATTGGGTTGAGAGTATTTGTGGAGCTTGAGTTCTGTTCACTTACCTTGACAGGGTCATTGATGATTCAGATAATTCAGGCCAATTCTAGAGGCTTTCTTAACATCAACTTCATTCTGACTTGGCCCCACAATGATGATGATTACTATTTCCATCTTGGGATAAATATTAACTATAAATGAAATATTTGAAAGGAATGCCATCTTACATTTGAACAGAACATCAAATTTTAGAAGGCATTTTTTATGCCTTTGGCACTCCCAAACTTTCTGCCTCGTAGATGGCATTATGATGATCTCATCAGGTAAGGAAACCAAGGTCCAGACAGGTCAGACCACTTGTCAATGGGCACAGAAGGGGCTACAAAATAAATAGAATAAGGGGAACCCTTACACTGGAGTGAAGATTTCCTCATTACCATACTGCCTCACCTCAACAACTCAACCATTTTTTAAATCTAGCAACTAATTTAAGTACAAAGAAACTGCCACATGCATGAAAGAGAGATTTTCATTATCATTTTTACAACAGTCTTACCTCTTCTACTCTTGGTTCTAAATATTCTCTCAAATCTTTTCTCCAATGTACTTATAACAATACTCAGTCATTTAACTTAATCCACCATTTTATCTGCATACAACTTCTCCTGCATCTTTGATTCGAGTTTTGATTCTGCCATCTAACAAGCCATGTGATCTTTGGGAAGATGTCAGTTAACCAATTTCTGCCTCATATTCTTTAGCTTTAAGATGGGGATAACTACACCTAGAGCCAGACTTCTTTATGAAATTAATTCAGTTAATATATAATGAAATGTTGACGTGCTGACCCACACGTTAGAAGTTGTCATCACCACCATCATTGTTACAGAGATACGTGAATTTTTGACACGGCTACACCTCTGATTTAACTTACGGTGTTTCCAGCATGACTTTACAAACACTTGTCATCGTACTGAGGCAGTCTGTGGTGTTCTCTATTGGCAGGGTTTTGTTCTAAACGGGAGACACAAAGGGTGTTAGCCTGTTAGCAGCTTTTATGCACAACTGGGCAGAAGGCACTTTGTTGGTCAACATCACTTACTTCGGAGACAAAGTGCATGGTGGCATTGCTGAGGGTTTTCAGCATCGGCGTGGCTTCTGCATAGAACAGGGACATTCGATTTGCCATCTCATTGTTGACTTCATTCTCAATGTCTAGCTGATGAAAAGAAGATGAGAAGATGCGAGTGATAAAGAGATGGTCAACATCTCAAATGGTGTCCTCTGGAAAATGAATCACAAAGGCTCTGTCTTCTCCCTGTGCCCCTCCTGATGCAAAAATTAAAAGAGATTTGGAACCTGGGGCTGTCGACCCAGGAGATCCAGGGACTCACATGCATGTTGTTGATGCGATTGCGACTGATGGTCCTTCTGTAGTAGCTGAAGTCATTCTGAATAGCTGGGTTCCTCATCTGAAGTTCAGAAAAGAGGAAAGAAGGTCATTTCTCAGCATCAGAGGGGGGTTACACACCTGAAGTCCAGGCACTACATTTTGCACAGATACCAGGACTTCTCTTTGTTACCCAAAAGTCAAAATAACTTTGGGTTAAAAATAAACTCAGAGCTTCATTATTTAAGAATACACCCTATTTTTACCCTAGGCTAGATTTTAGGGAAAGCACACTGGCTTCCAAAGAGGAATAGACACTTGAGATGTTTTCTCTGGTTGCATCTGGCAGATTTTGAATTTCCACATACAAACCACCATTGTAAATCACTTTGACCACAAGGAGTGTGAATTCTCACCACATCACAGGTCTCTCGAGGAAAGGAGCTACTTCCCTAGTCTTTTTCCCCCACCCCACAGCCCTGCAAAGCACCTGGACATGCAGGTGCTCAGTACGAATCTGTTAAATTGTCCAAGCACACATGGCCTAACCTTCAGCTCATCAAATCGAAGGGTGAAATGCAGAATTTCCGCAAATTCCTTGGCCAGGGCCTGCTCCCGCTCCAGGTGCTGGGTTGGTGTGTAGGGTGGACAGGTCAGAGATTCCAATAAACTCTGAAGAGCTTTTTCTAAAAGTCAAAGGGATACATACATATTTGAGGTGGACCACAGAGATTTTTAAAAAGCCCAATTTGCAACCCCAGTTGACATTCTGAGATAACCTGTGTGAGTGTTTCCTCTCCACCTTTCCCCCCCAGAACAGTGTGAAATGTGATGTGTGTGGATAAGGAGGAAAAGGAACCCCCCTGCCCTCCATGCCTGAGAAGGCTGTCTCCACTGCAGAACTGACCCGTCGCCCCAAAGCTCAGCTGGACCCTCCCATGTTCTGTTGTCCCAAATCCTAACACTGTAGAAAACCACAAATAGGATCATGTGCATGAGACAGCCCTCTATGACCTAGGATGAGATGAGGTGGCCCTGAATGCATGGGTTAAATTGCTTGCTTTGTAGGGAGAGACTTGCGGTCCATACCAGCCCTTCTCCGCAATGACACTCTTAGCAAATCCAAGGAATATTTTTCTACAAACCTGCTGCCATATCTACCTCCATTACTATCCTGAAAACAGTCTCATTACTCTCACCTGTTTCTAAACCTTCCTTCCTGCTTTTTCTTCAATATATTTTTCTTGGCATCAAGTCATTTTATCAATCTTCTAGAGAAAAGGTAGGCAAACTATGGCCCACAGGCTAAATCTGGTCCACAGTTGCTTTTTTTGCAAATAAAGTTTTATTAAACACAGCCATGCTTCATTAATATTTTCATTCTGTGCCACAATGGCAGGGTTGAGTGGCTGTAACAACAATAGGATAGCCCACAAGCCTAAAATATTTATTATCTGGCTCTTTATAGAAGGGTTCGCTAGTGCTGACTTTATCATCCCTAGAGGCCTTTTACAGCTTCTTTCTGAGGACATCACTAGCATTTTCTATCTACAGAAACACACTGTCTTCTGAGGCAGCCCGCTTGATGGTGGATCTTTTTCCGTCTGCTGAGCTGACACTTGACTCCTTCTGATCTCAGTTCAAGGGGTCTAGACACACACTTTGAGGAAACTGAGAAGTCGATCCCTCTTCAACCCGAGAGTCTTCAGGAGCTCTTCCTGAAAAACTGGTTCAGTTCATTGAACTATTCCCTTGGAGTCTCAGTTTCAAGTTCTCTCAACATCATGGCTATTATTCCCCCAGGGTACTTCAATTTCTCTGTTTAATTCTTAAAATGTGGTACCCACTTATGGGCAGAAGTAGAATAAAACATGACCACACACTTCCTAAAGGAAATCAACCCTGAATACTCATTGGAAAGACTGATGCTGAAGCTGAAGCTCCAATACTTTGGCCATCTGATGCAAAGAGCCGACTCCTTGGAAAAGACCCTCATGCTGGGAAAGGTTGAAGGCAGGAGGAGAAAAGGGGATGACAGAGGATGAAATAGGTGAATGGCATCACCAACTCAATGGACATGAGTCTGAGCAAACTACAGGAGACAGTGAAGGACAGAGAAGCCTGGTGTGCTGCAGTCCAGGGTGTCGCAGAGACTAGGACACAACTGAATGACTGAACAACAATGAAACCCCCCTTCCTCATTCTAGACATATCATACATTTTAACCAGTGAAAGCTCAGATAGCTTTACTGTTGGGGGAGGGGTTATATCATATCGGTGGTCACATGGAGCCTACTGTCAACCAGACTTGATCTTACTCTGACCTCTGCAAAGCCATCCTGTTCCTGCACAGAGGTTTTTTTTTGTTTTGTTTTGTTTTTTTAAGCTTAAGAACAGAACATTATATTTGTCTTTCTTGTATTTTGCTATATTATTGGGTTGGCCAAAAAGTTTGTTTGGGTTTTTCTGTGCTGTCATCTGGAAAATCCAAATTAACTTTTTTTGGCCAACCAAATAAATTTAACACATGATTTCAGCCAATCAACTTCTTTTTGGGTTAGCAGGTAACATGGGTTTTCCAACTTCTCTGTCCTTTGGAAATGTGATCAGACAGGGTAATACTGTTAAGAGTAGGACTTAGCTGAGAACAAAACCAAAGGGAGACCCACTAGTAAAGACACTCGAAACATGCCAATAAATGCAGGAGAAGAAACTCTGAGGCATGCTGTCAGAAATTGACATGACCACTGTTTTTGTATCTGCGTGGCCTCTGATGATGCACAACAGTGGATGTGGGGCAGTTTCCAATCCCCTGAGCTTTTCCTACTACTTTCTCAAACACCATCACAGAACTTTACAAGAGGGCCATGAAAAGCATAAATACATACTCACCTAGCCTGATGGAAAACTCATAAAATCTCTTCAGTCTCACGACCAAAGGACACACTGCATTCCAAGCTTTTTCCTGAAGCTGAATGTCATTGGGATTTTGGATGGCCTGCCAAAACATGATGGAATTGTCTGCTTAAAAGGAAGCAGTAGGCTCCACGTCAAAACGACTAAAGATTGAGAAAGAATTTGAGTTTAAAAAAAAAATTCCTGCTGTCTTTTGCTAACGTGTACTGCCTCAATCAGTTCATCATGGAAGTGTTGTCCAAGATTCTCAATTAGGATGGTGATTTTAGCACTTGAATATAATGCAAATGGCTCAACAATGAGACACCATGTCATTTGACTTGCTTCTCATATTGTCAATGCAAAAAAAAAAAAATGCATGTCTAATTGGAAGCAATTCAGATCTCCTCCATGACCATTTGATTCTTCTAAAGTAGAGCTAGTGCTCATTATGAAGTACAGATTCTGTAGATGTTTTCCTTTCTCTATAGTATGTATTACATTCCTGACAGTCTGAGATAGTACCTAAATTACCTAAATTAAATGGTGACCCTTAAGTAGAAAAATAACCTCTTAATAGGCTGCTACTTTCTGTGAAAGGCTGTTTTGCCTGGGTTTCAGCAGTTTGGGGATTATGATGCTAGAAGCATTTTATTGTTGCTATGTCTTGTTTTTTGTTTTTTGTTTTTTTCCAGAAAATGGTGATGGCAATGTGTGTGTGTGCTGATACTTCCACAAAACTAATTATTTCAAACAAAAGGAGTGTGAGGTTTCTTGCCTTGAAGGCATGACAAGCTCTCAAAAGCCACACTGCCAATTTTTTTCTGTTTTGGTCACTGTTTTCTTTTTCCTGCACTTATTATTTTGATTTTACATGTCATTTCAGGATGACAAGCAGGCTCCTTAAGGGAGGTTGTTTATGTCTCTTGTTTGTGATAGTCATGAAACCTGCCAAAAATCATTACAAAATGTTGGAAAGTTCACATACACCCAGACCTCATGACTCATATTTCAACTACCGTTCACAGATTTCATATGTATGTTTCTCTTATATGAAGCAACATATTGACAAATTATTGTTTAAATGTGAGTCTTGCAATTTCAAATGTATGTCAGAGGAGAGAATGGCTTGCACTTTACATGGTCCACAGCACTAAGTGCTCAGATCAGTGGATTCGAATAAAAGGGACCATTCATACATTTTTGAAGGACACATTACCCTCCTTGTTTCCTGGTACGCTATGAAAAACTAGGGCTAGTACTTAATCTTGCTGTGTGTGTGTGCGTGTGTGGGTTTCCCTTCTCCACCAAGGGCGTTGTCAGCTTAGTGTTATTATTGGCATACATCTCGGATCTCTGGCCCCGCGCCCTTGTACGCCTGCAGGTCTGCAAGGATGCTCTCGGAATCCTGAAGCACGGCGCTGATCTGGTTCCATATTTCCCTCTCTCCTTCTGTGGGCTGGGCATCTAGGCAGACAGGAAACCAAGAGACACAGAGGCTTGTGTTTATAAACAGCCTAGGAAGAGGCTCGGCATTCAATTCTACCCACTGGACAATCCTATGTGACTCTGGCAGGCATGGTATTTCCTCTTTAACATAATAAGGTGCTAAGAAATGAAAACTAACAGAACTTCTGGCCATTACTCAGTTCAAAATAGTTACAAATATTTCACTCACATTTAACAAAGCATGTTGGGATCATTGTGCGTGCGCAGTTGCTCGGTTGTATCTGATTCTTTGAGACCTCACGGACTGTAGCCCACCAGGCTCCTCTGTCCATGTGATTTCCCAGGCAAGCATACTAGAATGGCTTGCCATTTCCTTCTCCAGGGGATCTTCCTGACCCAGAGATCAAGCCCATGTCTCCTGCAGTGCAGGCAGATTCTTTACCACTGAGCTATCTAAGAAGCCCATGGAATCATTGTAGGCACCCCTTTATTTGTATAGATCACTTTTTTTTGTTGCTGGACATATACTATGTGCCAAGTGGTACACTGGGTGATAGGAAGAATAAACATTACCTTTTGGGATCCAATTCTAATATTTAATAGAAGCTATTGTGGCTGAAAATCTATGAATCTGAGTCTAGATGGGAAAGTAATCCCACTTATATTTCCATACTAAAAAAAAACTTAAGATTTTCCATAGTTAATCCTTCAGAGCTATGGCATAGATATATCTTTGCAGAACACAATGATCTGTAGAAAGCAATGGAGTTCCTTTTTGAACATGAACTCAAGAAGTGCAGAGAGTTCATTTTAAAGACTCCTATACTGTTCACCTTTGGTCTTAACCATGAAACTTATCCACAAAAATAAGTAATGCATTTAAACTTAAATACTGAAGAACAAATTCTAACAGTCACAGAGACATTCACTTAGTTCCTCAATGAATTCTGACTTGTTTACATTCCTGGGGCCAATGTATGTTCTTGCCTGCAGGAGTATTTTGTGAGGGCTGGTGGGTGGAAGTTGAATAGTGGTAAAGATAGGGTTTTATTTATTTCACAATGCCTATAAAATAGGTTTCTTGCCTGGGCTAGTTAGGAAATTAATCTCCATCTAAAACAAGGGCATTGCTAATTCAGGAAGAGGACAGATGTCATCTCCTAAAATCTGTTTTCAAAAATCCAAGTCCTAAGGGACTGAGTTCTCCCAGCAGACTCCACTAATGAAAGGGTACCTGCATGCATCCTCAGTCACTTCAGTCGTGTCCCCTCTTTGCAACCCTATGGACTGTGGCCCGCCAGGCTCCTCTGTCTATGGGATTCTCCAGCCCAGGCCTGGAGTGGGCTGCCATGCCCCCCTCCAGGGGCTCTTCCGAAGCAAGATTCAAACTCGCATCTCCTGCATTACAGGCTCATTTTCTTCCATAATTGGTTAGGCTTATTGCAAGTCCTAGGCTTTTCCGCTTTTCTCTGTCAGGGAACTGAATCACCTTTTTTTCCAGCTATTAATTAAGCCCTTGGTGTTGGCTGCACAGTCCCTGGCCTCTGGGCCAGGTTGCTTTAAGAGTCTAGAGGACTCAAATCACAAATGGCATAAACTTCTGAGACAGAAAGTACCAGCTGGGAGAAGCCCTAATCTGTCTGTCTCGGTTTTCAAATGGGAAAAAGACCATGTAACCCTAAGTGACATGTGGTCTTAGCCCGTATCCCTAAGTTCATAATTCATCCCACTTTGATACCCCAGCTAAAAGAAGAGACAGGACTAACAAGTGAGAATCTGATCCACAAGACTGTAAGACTCAGACCTTATTTGTCTCACTTGACACTGTATCTCCAGGATCTAACACAGTGCCTGGCACCCAGTAATGGCAGTAGAAAAATGGGCTGAATGATTGAAACAGAGTCAGAGCTATGGCTTTTCCAGTAGTCATGTACAGATGTGAGAGTTGGACCATAAAGCAGGATGAGTGTCAAAGAACTGAGGCTTTCAAACCATGGTGTGGAGAAGACTCTGAGAGCCCCTTGGACTGCAGGAAGATCAAACCAGTTAATCCCAAAGAAAAATCAAACCTAAACATTCATTGGAAGGACTGACACTAAAGCTGAAGCACCAATACTTCAGCTATCTGATGCAAAGATCCTGATGATGGGAAAGAATGAAGGCAAAAGGAGAGGGGGCGATAGAGGATGAGATGGTGAGATAGCATCACTGATTCAGTGGACATGACTTTGAGCAAACTCTGGAAGATAGGGAAGGACACGGAAGCCTGGCTTGCTGCAGTCCATGGGGTTGCAAAAACTCAGACACAACTTAGCAACTGAACAGCAATTCATATTGTTTTGGGATGGTTTTCCTGCTTGTCTTTGAATACCAAGCTATCTGAAGACAGGGCCTGTATTCTTGTCTTCAGTAGTCCCATATGCCCTACCCATTGGAGAAACTTACTAAACGTGTCATGTCTCAATGGATAAATGATGAAACTGACCATATGACGGAGAACGTGGGTGTGGAGAAGCGGTGAAAAAATAAAGATCTTACTACTTCCAGATCCTCTCCTCTGTCTTGTCTCCTGAAACGGTTTTACCACTGTTGCATGTCTCACTATCATCATGAAGATAATATGCATTTACCTACAATCAGACTGGCTATTCACACTTTAGTTAATGTGTTTTTAAAACCTCCATCATTTATCTATGGCCTCAATGTTTCCTCAGTGTGGTTAACATCCTAATAGAATATTTGATTAGTGCAAAACTGCATTAATGTTACTCTCCTAATTCTAAAGCTGCTATTTTACTTTCTGGAATAGTCCTTTGAGAGACTTTGGGGTCTGCACTTTTGGCCTCCTCCAAATTGAGATTCAGTTGGTCACCATGCTTTTAAAATGTATTGTGTCTTCAGATGTCAAGGAGAGACATCTTGAAAAAGACCCAGAAGAATTAGTGATTGGAAAGGTTACTATTTAACCTATCAGCAACCTCCTAGAGCATTTGCTGAGTGAACAGGAACTCTGAATGAAGGCTTCTGTTTTTCTGTTTTTAACACAAAAATTGATCTTAAGTCAAAGGTACATACACACACTAAAAATAATGATGATGATGGAAGTGGGTCTCTGTTTCCAGTTGTGGCCAGTGAATTGTTTAGTGATGTATCTTCTAAGAATCACATTCTAAATTTCTAATCATCACCAGTTATTTCATTGAAATTGAGGAAAATGGTTACAGAAAGTTGGAGTGTTCCTGTCTAACAATGAAGCTGTTAAAAGTGCCTGTGATTTACACAGGCAATTTCAGAAACCAACACTTCTAGGAGCCCTGGAACAAGCCTCTCCAGGCCTTTCTCCAGGCGATGATTTAAACCCCTATTCTAGACTTGCTGTTGTAGAAAGAATGAAAATGTATCATGTGCCCTGTGACCTTGAATACATACATTTATTGTCAAGAATTTGCTGAATTCCAAGTGCCTAGAATTTTTAATGGAAAAAGCACCATCTTATCAATTAAGAAAGTTCAACAGTATTCATTTTGTTTATAGGGGACCTATTTATCCTCCTTTGACTCAATTTCCCAGTGACAGTGGATATTAACTGTCGGCATTTTAGAGTCACCGGGGTCAGGGGGCGGTTTCGTGCTGAAGGACTGTGATATTTACTGAGAGCAGAATTCTCGGCATTCCACTGTGCCGATGCAAAGCAAGGTGGCCCCCAGCTTTGTCAGAAGCAAACATCTTCGGTGAACATACCCCAGGGCACAGGCGGCAGGGCTCAACCCTGAGCAAGACTGTCAAATCAAAGAGTTCTTATCTTTGTAAATCAGCCAAGGATGCACTCTGTCTCCACAAGCCCCGGGAACACACACACACCTACCCCTAAAGACCTATTCAAGGCTGTGTGGAAAAGCTGACAGAGAATCAAACAAATTAACTGAAGAAAATGTGAATGGGAGACGATTTATTTGGAGATGTCTTTGGCTTTGAAGGAAACCCTGGCGTTTCATCAGTAGGATACATCCCTATCTCTGCACCCACCAGCTGTTGTATAAACACCAAAGAAAGGCAGAGCAGGAAGGGTTCGCCAAGCCATAAATTAAATCTCCAGCTCTTCTTCTCCACCCACTTACTCATTTCACCCTTCACCCCTTCAGGATAAACTAAGAAGCGTAATAACTACCTAATATTAACAATATACATGTGTGTGTGTGTTAGTCTTTCAGTCAGGTCAACGCTTTAAGACCCCGTGGACTGTAATCCACCAGGTTCCTCTGTGCACGGGATTCTCCAGGCAAGAACACTGATGTGGGTTGCCATTCCCTTCTCCAGGGGAATTTTCTGACCCAGGGATCGAACCTGGGTCTCCTGCATTGCAGGCAGATTCTTTACCATCTGAGCCACCAGGGAAGCCCTGATATGAACACTGGGGGATGTAAAAATAGAAATGATTTATAGCACGATACTAACCGCTTACAAAAAAACAATCTACAATTGCAAAGGTCTGTCAGAAGATGTAAGTGTGATGGGACTGACATTATTTATTTGTACAGGAACATCAGTCATCCTATGCCAGAGCCCTTTCCCAAGGGACAGTCAGATGAGGGACTGCAAAAAGCAGGGAGGTTTAAGACACTTGAAGGCTTGTTTATTTCACATGCTGAGGCATCCCTGTGAAGTCATGGGGGGAAGAGAGAGCTCCAGGGATGTAATTTTTGAAGAACCATATCCTATCATAAGTTTTCACTCACTAAATATGAGACCTCAGGGCAAGCCAATTTATCTCTCTTGGTCTCAGATGAATTCTTGGTAGAGGGAGGGGAGCTAGCAAGAGCAGCATCTCCTCCCTATATGGTCCTGTGGGGGTCTGTGACGTGTAGGATCATAAAGAGGATGTTGACAGCTGAAAAGCACTTAAAAAGTGAAAGTGCTAGAAACTGAAAGAAACTGAATGAATCCCTGCCTTGACATAAACAAATTGCTTCCCAGGTCTGTTCTGTTCCTTGGTTTTTTGTTTGTTTTAGTTTCATTTG